CTTTAAAGTCTATTTTATCTGAGATTAGTATTGTCACTCTTGCTCTTTTTTGGTAGCTGTTTGCTTGACATTTTTTCCATTCTTTGATTTTTAATAAATTTATGTCTTTGTTTCTAAAATGTATCTCTTGTAGACAGCATATTGATGGGTCCTTTTTTAAAAATCCATTCTGTAACTCTCTGTCACCATCAGTTCTTGATCGTATGCTACCTCCTGAAATGACTGGACATTGACCAATTCTTTCTGGTACAGTGATTCTGTGTATTCCTTCGATCTTCTTTTGATGCTTCCTGGGTGGTTCAGTTTTTTGCCCATAGAATCCTTCAATATTGCAACTCAAGGTTAGACTCTTTTCTTCAGTTCTTTCAGCTTGAAAAATGCTGAGTGTGTTCTTCCCTTTTGGTTTTCTGACTCCAGATCTTTGCACATTTTATTATAATACTTTACTTTGTCTTCTTGACCCACCTTTTGAAATCTTCTGTTCATCTCTTTTATTTCATCATTTATTCAGCTCGCTTTAGCTGCTCTACATTCAAGAGCAAGTTTCAGAGTTTCTTCTGACATCTATTTTGGTCTTTTCTGTATTTTAATGACCTTTTACTTTCCTCATGTATGATGTCCTTAATGTCACTTCATGACTCATCTAATCTTTTTGTAATTTGTGTTCGATGCATCACTTCTATTCTTGAGATGGTCTACTATGTTGGCCAAGTTGAAAGAGTCAAAATTCCAGCTTTTTTTTTTTTTTAGTTGTACTTCAGGTGAAGGCTTACAGAACAAATAGTTTCTCATGAAACAGTAGTACACATATTGTTTTATGACATTGGTTAACAACCCCACAACATGTCAACCCTCTAACTTCTCAACCTTTTTTTTTTGGTGAAAATACACATAGCCAAATACACCATTTCAAAAATTTCTACATGCACAGTTCAGTGACATTGACTACGCTCTTCCAATGTGCTGCTATTCTCACTTAAGATGAAGGCTTACAGAACAAAATAGCTTCTCATTTAACAGTTACTATACAAGTTGCCCTATGACAATGGTTAACAATCTCACAACACATCAATAATATCCTTACTCAACCTCGGGTTCCCTAGCACCAGCTTCCTTGTCCCCTTCTACCTTCTGGCCCTTGTCACTGGAATACCGTACCTTGTTAGTCCCATTTCGTTTTACGGGGCTGTCCACTCCAGGCTGAACGGTGAACCTCGGAGACAACTTCACCACTGAGCTAAAAGGGTTTCTGGGGGCCATACTCTCGGGGTTTCTCCAGTCTCCTTTAGGCCAGTAAATCTGGTCTTTTTTTTTGTGAGTTAGAATTATGTTCTACATCCTTCTCCAGCTCTGTCCAGAGCCCTCTGTTGTGATCCTGGTCAGAGCAGTCAGTGGTGGTAGCCGGGCACCATCTAGCTGTACTCGACTCAGTCCGGTGGAGGCCTTGGTAGCTGTGGAACATTAGTCCTTTGGACTAATCTTTTCCTTGTATCCTGTTCTCTTCATTCTCCCTTGCTCCCGAAGGGATGAGACCAGTGGAGTATCTTAGATGGCTGCTCACAGGCTTTTAAGACCCCAGACACTACTCACCAAGGTAGAATGTAGAACATTCTCTTTATAAACTGTGTTATGCCAGTTGAGCTAGATGTTCCCCAAGACCATGGTCCCCACAGCCCTCTGCCCTCAGGGAGTTTGGATGTGTCTATGGGGCTTCCATGACCTCTCCTTGTACAAGTTGTGCTGGTTTCCCCTGTATTGTGTACTGTCTCACCCTTTATCCAAGATACCACTTATCTATTGCCTATTTAGTATTTCCCCCCCACCCCTCCCATCCCTGGTAACCAACAAAGATTGTTACATTTTGTGTGTGAATGTTTTCATGGGTTTTCAAAATTCCAGCTTTTGAGTGAAATTCACCAGCTTCGTGTTGCCAAACACCAAGAAACTTCACAGGGAAAGTTCAGTTGAAATTCTTCAGGTCATAGGTTACAATTAATTTGTAAGAAAAGCTTTATATTGACCTAAAAATATCATCATTGACAAATAGCTCTCACCACCTCCCCCTCCTTTCACTCAAATACCTGGCTCCGTGCGCCATCTTTGCTTCTTCCTCTACTCATTAATTTTATATGGCAAGGAAAGAGGTCCTGGATAAATAAAGCATTATTGAAGAAAAAGAACAAAGTAGGAGGCCTTGCACTACCTAATCTCAGAACCTACTATAGAATTACGGTAGTCAAAACAGCCTGGTACTGGTACAATAGACATACTGACCAATGGAACAGAATTGAGAACCCAGATGTAAACCCATCCACCTATGACCATTTGATATTTGACAAAGGCCCAAAGTCCATTAAATGGGGAAAAGACTGTCTTTTTAACAAATGGTGCTGGCAAAACAGGATGTCATCTGCAAAAATATGAAACAGGACCCATTCCTCACACCATGCACAAGAACTCATTTAAAATGGATCAAAGACCTAAACACAAAACACAAAACTATAAAGATCATAGCAGAAACAATAGGGTCAACGCTAGGGGCCTTAATATACGGCATAAATAGAATACAAACCATAACGAACAATACACAAACACTAGAAGATAAGCTAGATAACCGGGATCTTCTAAAAATTAAATACTTATGCTCATCAAAAGACTTCACCAAAAGAGTTAAAAGAAAACCTACAGACTGGGAGAAAAATTTTGGCTATTACATATCTGACAAAGCTCTAATCTCTAAAATCTATAGGGAAGTCCAATACCTCTACAACAAAACCACAAATAATCCAATTAAAAAACGGGCAAAGGATATGAACAGATACTTCACCAAAGAAGACATTCAGACAGCTAACAGACACATGAGGAAATGCTCTCAATAACCAGCCATTAGAGAAATGCGAATCAAAACTACAATGAGATACCATCTCACCCCGACATTACTGGCATGAATCAAAAAACAAAAAAACAAAAAAACAAAAAAACAGAAAATAACAAATGCTAGAGAGTCTGCATGGAGATTAGAACTCTTTTGCACTGCTGGTAGGAATGCTAAATGGTACAACCATTTTGGAAAACAATATGGCACTTCCTTAAAAAGCTAGAAATAGAAATATCATCTGATCCAGCAATCCCACTCCCAGGAATATATCCGAGAGAAATAGAGCCATCAAAGGAATAGACATATGCATACCCATGTTCAGTGCAGCATTATTCACAATAGGAAAAAGTTAGAAACAACCTAAGCGCCCATCAACAGATGAATGGATAAACAAATTATGGTACATACACACAATGCAATACTGCACAATGATAAAGAACAACGATGCATCTGTGAAACATCTCACAAAATGGATGAATTTGGAGGGCATTATGCTGAGTGGAATTCGTCAATCACAGAAGGACAAATACTGTATGAGACCACTATTATAAAAACTCAAGACAAAGTTTACATACAGAAAGAAACAATTTTTGATGGTTAGGAGGGAGGAGAAGGATGGGGAGGGAAAAACACTAACTAGGTAACAGGTAAGTGGTAACTTTGGTGAAGGGTAAGACAGTACACAATACTGGGGAAGTCAGCACGATTTGACCAAGGCAAAGTCATAGAATCTTCACAGACACATCCAAACTTCCTGAGGGACCAAATTACTGGGCTGAGGGTTGAGGACCATAGTCTCGGGGGACACCTAGCTCAATTGGCATAACATAGATTATAAAGAAAATGTTCTGCATCCTACTTTGTTGAGTAGCGTCTGGGGTCTTAAAGCTTGTGAGCGACTGTCTAAGACACATCTACTGGTCCCACCCTGTCTGGAGCAAAGGAGAATGAAGAAGACCAAAGACACAAGGGAAAGATTAGTCTAAGGGACTAATGGACCACAACTACCACAACCTTAACCAGACTGAGTCCAGAACAACTAGATGGTGCCCAGATACCATCACTGACTGTTCTGACAGGGATCACAACAGAGGACCCCAGACAGAGCAGGAGAAGAATGTAGAACAAAATTCAAACTCACAAAAAGAGGCGAGACTTACTGTTCTGAGAGACTACATCCCAAGTGTATGTCCCCCGGACTCCAGCTCACTACTGAAGTCACTCTTGAGGTTCACCCTTCAACCAAAAGTTAGACAGGACCTATAAAACAAGCAATAATACATGTAGTTGTCATGTATAAGAGAGAGACTAAATGGGCACACCGGCCCAAAAGCAAAGAAGACAAGGCAGGAAGGGACAGGAAAACTGGATGAATGGAAATGGGGAACGCAAGGTCGAAAAGGGGAGAGTGTTGGCACATTGCGGGGTTAGCAACCAATGTCACAAAACAATTTGTGTATTGTTTAATGAGAAACTAATTTGTTCTGTAAACTTTCACCTATAGCACAATTTAAAAACAAAGGGGAGGGGGAATATATAATAGCACTTATAATTGGCCAGACACTTCTTTACAACAACCCTCTGAGGGAGATTGTATTAGCATCCCCATTTTACAGATGGGGAAACTGAGGCACGGGGAGGTAAATTACATGCCCAAGGTAGTGGCAGAGGCTGGGTATTCCAATCCCAGGCATTCAAGCTCCAAGTTTTGCTCCTATCTTCTCTGTTACAGCGCAGACCATCAGCCTGGGCATTAGGAGTCAAGTGTTCCCGCAGGCCCTTGCGTGCCTGACAATCTTGTTTCTTCGTCTGTAGATCGGGATCGTAAACAGTGGCTACACGCAAGGTTGTCTGGAGATTAATTATTGCACTCCAAGAGGTTAGTAATGCGCCCAGCAGATAGTAAACGCTCAATAAATGTTAATTATTGATATTTTTGTTATTATGGGCGTTTCTGAGCTCGGGACAGAGAGCTGCAGGGCAGTATCCTTACACAGTTTGCAGGCGAAGTCATTTTGAGGGCCAGGGTGCGGGGCTCCTTCCCCGCCCACACCCAGTTCAGAGCAGCCCTAGGCCCCGCCCCGCTTTTAAAGAGGGACACTGGGCGCAGGCGCACACTGCGCAGGCCCAGGTCTGGTGCCGCCGGTTCCGAGCAGCGAGAAGCGCGCAAGCCCCTCCGCCCGGGTCACGTTTGCCCCGCAGCACACGCTCATGGAGGAGCGCACGTGTTCCCCGAGGGAGCCCCGCGTCTGCCCTGCGGCCGTGCTTTGCCGCGGCCCTGTGGAGCCGCTCATCTTCCTTGCTAACTTTGCCTTGGTTCTGCAGGGTCCGCTCACCACGCAGTATCTCTGGCACCGATTCAGTACTGACCTCGGCTACAATGGCACCCGCGACAGCCATAGCTGCAGCAACCACAGCGTGAACCCTACCATGCAGGTAACGGCGGTGGGGACGAGCAAGGCGCTGGCGAAGAGCGTGAAGGGGGGTGATGGCGGGGCTAAAAGGCAGCTGAGGGGGTAGGAGGGGCCTGTTAGAAGTGGCGGACCCCTGAGGGGTGTGGATACTGGGCAGTGGGCGGGGCCAGAGCAAAGTTGGGGCCTGACGAAGAACTCCAACGTGGGGTATGCGGTAAAGTTGATCTAATAAAGCATGACTTTGAAGGCTAACAGAAGGGGGTAAAGCTGAGGGAACGGGCCCTTGGCCCATTTCCCACACAGGCGTCAAAGAAAGTTAAGGTTCTTTCCAAATCCTTATAACTCTCAGGATTTTGATGTTTTGGGGTGGGCGAGCGGCACCCTATAAAGCTTATGCCTCCACAGGAAGTGGAAACCCTCACCTCCCACTGGACCCTCTACATGAACTTGGGCGGCTTCCTGGTGGGACTCTTCTCGTCCACCCTGCTAGGGGCCTGGAGTGACTGTGTGGGTCGCCGCCCTCTCCTGGTGCTGGCCTCACTCAGCCTGCTGGTCCAAGCCGTGGTGTCCATCTTTGTGGTGCAGCTGCAGCTCCATGTTGGCTACTTTGTGCTGGGCCGCATCCTCTGTGCCCTCCTCGGAGATTTCAATGGCCTCCTGGCTGCTGGCTTTGCCTCCGTGGCAGATGTCAGCTCCAGCAGCAGCCGCACCTTCCGCATGGCCCTGCTGGAAGCGTGCATCGGGGTGTCGGGGGTGCTGGCCAGCCTTCTTGGGGGCTACTGGCTGCGGGCCCAAGGTTATGCCAACCCCTTCTGGCTGGCCTTGGCCTTGCTGATAGCCATGACTCTCTACGCAGCATTCTGCTTTCGCGAGACTGTGAAGGAGCCGACACAAGCCCGGCTGTTCACGCTCCGTCACCACCGATCCATTCTCCGGCTCTATGTGACTCCATCCCCAGAGAAGTCCAGGAAGCATTTGGCCCTGTACTCGTTGGCCATCTTCGTTGTAATCACTGTGCACTTTGGGGTCCAGGACATCATGACCATCTATGAGCTGAGCGCACCCCTCTGCTGGGACTCCAGGCTAATTGGTTATGGTTCTGCGGCTCACCACCTCCAGTACCTCACCAGCCTGCTGGGCCTTCGGCTTCTTCAGTGCTGCCTGGCCGACACCTGGGTGGCTGAGATCGGGCTGGCCTTCAACATCCTGGGGATGGTGGTCTTTGCATTTGCTACCATCACAGCCCTCGTATTCACAGGTGAAGTGTGTGAGCTCAGGGACAGCTTGTCCCGGAGGCCAGCCATCTGCCCCTAAATGGGGTTCATGTCTTTGGAAAAACAGTGTTTTGTCCCCAGCCTGCACTGGAGGGCAGACAACTAAGAGACCCCAGAAAAAAATGCCATCTTTGATATACTGAAAATACAAACCTTCAGTAGCCAAAGTAATTAATCCACATTATCAGCCGTAAATGTTGCTAGTAATATAGAGTAGAAGATTCAGAAGTATAGTTCATACACTAATTGCTTCACCCCTTGGCCTGCTTTGCCTGTTTGTGGTGTTCTGAAACAAAATCCACACCATTAATGCCTCAATACTCCTATGACAAGAATCACAGGACCTCAAATAGCCTTGGTCAGCTTCTTTGGATTTTTGAAGAAACCAGTGTCCTCAGACCACAAATATAAAATTTATGCTTGCTTTACTTCTTTCTTTTTTTGGAGCGGATAGGAGGACTTTCAGATCCTGCAGACTGGGATTGGCTAGCGAATGAGGAAGTTAACTTTTTTACAGTAGGGCTTCCAACCGGTTCATTCAGATTTGAACCCCTACAAAGAATTTGCATTTCCACCGGAATATACTGAATGAGAATCTATAGTTTAACAAGATTCCCAGGTGATTATTACGTATAGTAAATTTTGAGAAGCACTGCTCTACTAGTGGTTCTCAGAATTGGTCCCTAGTCAGCAGCATTAGCATCGCCTGGGAACTTGTTAGACATGCAGATTCTCAGCAGGGGTTCGAACCAGAAGGAACCAGTTTGAAGCCCTGTTTTAAAGGTACAATTGTTTTTTTTGCAAATTTTATTTTATTGTACTTTAAGTGAAAGTTAACAATTCAAGTTAGTCTCTCATACAAAAATTTGTACATAAATTGTTATGTGACCCTAATTGCTCTCCCTATACTGAGACAGCACATTCCTCCTTTCCACCCCTGATTTCCTGTGTCCATTCAGCCAGCTCCTGACCCTCTCTGCCTTCTCATCTCACCTCCAGACAGGAGCTGCCCATTTAGTCTCATGTGTCTACTTGAGCTAAGACGCACGCTCTTTCCAAGTATCATTTTATGTCCCATAATCCAGTCTAATCTTTGAATGAAGAGTTGGCCTCGGGAATGGTTTTAGTGCTGGATTGACAGAGAGTCTGGGGGCCGTACTCCCTGGGGTTCCTCCAGTGTCAGACCATTAAGTCTGGTCTTTCCAGTAGAATTTGAGTTCTGTACCCCACTTTTCCTCCTGTTCCAACAGAGACTCTCTGTTGAGTTCCCTGTCAGGGCAGTCATTGGTGGTAGCTGGGCACCATCTAGTTCTTCTCGTCTCAGGCTGTTGCAGTCACCGGTTTATGTGGCCCTTTTTGTCTCTTGGGCTAATGCTTTCCTTGTGACTTTGGTGTTCTTCGTTCTCCTTTACTCCAGGGGGTGGGACCAATAGATGCATCTCAGGTGGCCGCTCACTAGCTTTTAGGACCCCAGACACCATTCACCAAAGTAAGATGCAGAACATTTTCTTAATAAACTTTGTTATGCCAGTTAACCTAGATGTCCCCTGAAAGCATGGTCCCCAGACCTCTACCCCTGCTACTCTGTCCCTCAAAGTATTTGGTTGTATTCAGGAAACTTCTTAGCTTTGGTTTAGTCCAGTTGTGCTGACTTCCCCTGTAGTGTGTGCTGTCCTTCCCTTCACCTAAGATAATTCTTGTCTACTGTCTAGTTAGTGAATAACCCTCACCCTCCCTCCCCACCCTTATAACCATCAAAGAATGTTTTCTTCTGTGTTTAAACCTTTTCTTGAGTTACAGATTGATTTTGATACAGCCCTAAAATGTGTTGTATACAAAGTTAGCTGTTCCATAATCACAGATTTCTGTTCTTTTTTTATTGTGCTTTAGGTGAAAGTTTGCAGAGCATATGAGGCAATTGAAAACACCATGGCTTGGGTCAGGCACACCTTAATCTTCAAGGTGACATCTTTGCTTTTCACCACTTTAAAGAGGTCTTTTGCAGCAGATTTGCCTAATGCAATGCATCTTTTGATTTCTTGACTGCTGTTTCCATGGATGTTGATTGTGGATCCTTGACAACTTCAGTCTTATCTCCATGTATCATGACGTTGCTTATTGGTCCAGTTGGGAGGATTTTTGTTTTCTTTATGTTGAAGTGTAATCCATATGAAGGCTGTGGTCTTTGATCTTGATCAGTACGTGCTTCAAGTCTTCTTCACTTTCAGCAAGCAAGGTTGTGTCAACTGCATAACGCAGGTTGTTAAGGAGTCTTCCTCCAATCCTGATGCTGTGTTCTTCTTCATATAATCCAGCTTCTCGGATTATTTGCTCAGCATACAGATTGAATAGGTATGGTGAAAGGATACAACCCTGACGCACACCTTTCCTGACTTTACACCACAAAGTATTCCCTTGTTCTGTTCAAACAGCTGCCTCTCAATCTGTGTGCAGGTTCCTCATGAGTACAGTTAAGTGTTCTAGAATTCCCTTTCTTTGCAATGTTGTCCATAATTTGTTATGATCCACATGATCAAATGCCTTTGCATAGTCAATGAAACACAGGTAAACATCTTTCTGGTATTCTCTGCTTTCAGCCAGGATCCATCTGACATGAGCAATGATATCCCTGGTTGCATGTCCTCTTCTGAATCCAGCTTGAATTTCTGGCAGTTCCCTGTTGATATGCTGCTGCAGCCGCGTTTAAATGATCTTCAGCAAAATTTTACTTGCATGTGATATTAATGATATTGTTCGATAATTTCCGCATGTGGTTGGATCACCTTTCTTGGAAATAGGTGTAAATATGGATCTCTTCCAGTTGGTTAGCCAGGTAGCTGTCTTCCACATTTCTTGGCATAGACGAGTTAGCACTTCTAGCACTGCATGTGTTTGTTGAAACACCTCGGTTGGTATTCCATCAGGTCCTGGAGCCTTGTTTTTCACCAGTGACTTCAGTGCAGGTTGGACTTCTTCCTTCAGTACTATTGATTCCTGATCATATGCTACCTCCTGAAATGGTTGAATGTCAACCAATTTTTTTTTTTTTTATTGTACTTTAGATGAAGGTTTACAGAAAAAACTAGTTTCTCATTAAACAGTTACTACACATATTGTTTTATGACATTGGTTAACAACCCCATGACATGTCAGCACTCTCTCTTCTTGACCTTGGGTTCCCTATTACCAGCTTTCCTGTCCCCTCCTGCTTTCTAGTCCTTGACCCTAGGCTATTGTGCCCCTTTAGTCTCATTTTGTTTTATGGGCCTGTCTGCTCTTTAGCTGAAGGGTGAACCTTGGGAGTGACTTCATTACTGAGCTAAAAGAGTGTCCGGGGACCATACTCTCAGTGTTTCTCCAGTCTCTGTCAGGCCAATAAGTCTGGTCTTCTTTTGTGAGTTAGAATTTTGTTCTACATTTTTCTCCAGCTCTGTCCGGGACCCTCTGTTGTGATCCCTGTCAGAGCAGTCAGTGGTGGTAGCTGGGCATCATCTAGGTGTTCTGGACTCAGTCTGGTGGAGGCCGTGGCGTATGTGGTCCATGAGTCCTTTGGACTAATCTTTCCCTTGTATCTTTAGTTTTCTTCGTTCTCCCTTGCTCCCGAAGGAGTGAGACCAGTGGAGTATCTTAGATGGCTGCTCACAGGCTTTTATAACCCCAGACGCTACTCACCAAAGTAGAATGTAGAACATTTTGTTTATAAACTATGTTATGCCATTTGCGCTAGATGTTCCCTGAAACTGTGGTCCCCACAGCCGTCAACCCCAGCAATTTGGTCCCTCAGGGAGTTTGGATGTGTCTATGAAGCTTCCGTGACCTTGCCTTGTACAAGTTGTGCTGGCTTCCCCAGTATTGTGTACTGTCTTACCCTTCCCCAGTTACCACTTATTGTCTATTTAGTGCTTTTCCATCTCCACCCCTTGCCTCCCTCCTAACCATCAAAGACTTTCTTTTTATATGTAAACATTTTCATGAGTTTTTATAGTAGTGTTCTCATACAATATTTGTCCTTTTGTGATTGACTTATTTCACTCAGCATAATGTCCTCCAGGTTCATCCGTGTTATGAGATGCTTCACAGATTCATCGTTGTTCTTTACCGTTATGTGGTACTCCACTGTGTATATATACCAGACCAATTCTTTTTGATACAGTGACTGTGTATTCTTTTCATGCTTCCTGCGTTGTTTAATATTTTCCCCGTAGATTCCTTCATTATTGCAACTCAAGGCTTGAGTTTTTTCTTCAGTTCTTTCAGCTTGAGAAATGCTGAGTGTGTTCTTCTCTTTTGGTTTTCTATCTCCAGGTCTTTGCACATATCATTATAATACTTTACTTTGTCTTCTCGAGCTACCCTTTGAAATCGTCTTTCATCTCTTTTACTTCATCATTTCTTGCATTTGCTTTAGCTACTTGACGTTCAAGAGCAAGTTTCAGAGTCTCTACTGACATCCATTTTGGTCTTTTCTTTGTTTCTTGTCTTTCTAATGACCTTTGCTTTCTTCATGTATGATGTCCTTGATGTCATTCCACAACTCATCTGGTCTTCAGTCATTAGTGTTCAACGCGTCAAATCTATTCTTGAGATGGTCTCTAAATTCAGGTGGGATATACTCAGGGTCGTACTTTGGCTCTTGTGGGCTTGTTCTAATTTTCATCAGTTTCAACTTGAACTTGCATGTGAGTAATTGATGGTCTTTTCCGCAGTCAGCCGCTGGGCTTGTTCTGACTGATGATACTGAGCTTTTCCATCGTCTCTTTCTGCAGATGTAGTTGATTTGATTCCTGTGTATTCCATCGGGCAAGGTCCACATGTATAGTTGCCCTTTATGTTGGTGAAAAAAGGTACTTGCAATGAAGAAGTTGTTGGTCTTGGAAAATTCTATCATACAATCTCTGGCATCGTTTTTATCACTGTGATGGTTAAGGTTGTGTGTCAAGTTGGCTGGGCCATGATTCTCAGTGGTTTGATAGTCATATGATGGTGTGATCACTTCCATGATGAGAGTTGATATTATGTAATCACCTCCGTGACGGGATCTGCTGTGAGTAGCCAGTCAGTTGAAAGGGAGTTTCCTTGGGCATGTGGCCTGCACTGAATGTAAGTGGATATTCTGACAAGGCTTATGGGCTTTTGCTTGTTCTGGATCCTGCAGCTGGCTCCTGGTCATCTGATCTCCGGTTCTTGGGACTTGAGCTAGCAGCTTACCTGTGGTCTTGCCTGCCGATCTTTGGGATTTGTTGATTTTCACAGCCTGTGAACAAGAGTCCTGCTCTCTGACCTGCCGATTTGGGGTTCACTGGCCCCAGTAGCTACTTGAATCAGGAGAAGCCTCTATCCTGACCCATGGACTTGGGATGTTCCAGCCTCTACAACTGCATGAGCCATTTCCTTGATATAAATCTCTCCATATGTATATATTTGTACCCTTTACGGGTTTTGCTTCTCTGGATAACCCAGCCTAAGACAGTCACCAAGGCCATATTTTCCTGTTACCAATCCTTCTTCTTCGTTTTCAACTTTTGCATTCCAATCACTAGTAATTATCAATGTATCCTGATTGCATGTTTGATCAATTTCAGACTGCAGAAGTTGGTAAAAATCTTCAATTTTTTTCATCTTTGGCCTTAGTGGTTGGCGTGTAAATTTGAATAATAGTTATATTAACTGGTCTTCCTAGTAGACATATGGATATTATCCTATCACTGACAGCATTGTACTTCAGGAGAGATCTTGAAATGTTTTCTTGACAATTAATGCAATGCCATTCCTCTTCAAGTTGTCATTCCCAGCATAGTAGATGATATGATTGTCTGATTCAAAATGGCCAATACCAGTCCATTTCAGCTCACTAATGCCTAAGATATCAATGTACGTGTTCCATTTCATTTTTGACGATTTCCAGTTTTCCTAGATTTGTACTGCATACATTCCACGTTCCAGTTATTAATGGATGTTTGCAGCTGTTTCTTCTCATTTTGAGTTGTGCCACACCAGCAAATGAAGGTCCCGAAAGCTTGACTCCATCCACGTCATTAAGGTTGACTCTACTTTGAGGAGGCAGCTCTTCTCCAGTTGCATTTTGAGTGCCTTCCAACCTGAGGGGCTCATCTTCTGACACTATATTAGACAATGTTCCACTGCTATTCATCAGGTTTTCACTGGCTAATTCTTTTCTTCCTTGTCTGTCTTAGTCTGGAATCTCAGCTAAAACCTTCCACCACGGGTGACCCTGCTGGTATTTGAATACCGGTGGCATAGCTTCCAGCATCACAGCAACACTCAAGCCCCCACAGTATGACAAACTTGACAATTTGGATGTCCTTTATGTCTTTTTCTTTCTTTATTTCTCTAGCTAGGACTTCCAGCACAATATTAAATAGGAGCGGTGATAAAGGGCATCCTTTTCTTGTTCCCATTCTCAGGGAATGTTTTCAGCCTCTCCACGTTGAGAATGATGTTAGCTGTTGGTTTTGTGTAGATGCCCTGTATTATGTTGAGGAATTTCCCTTCTATTCCTATTTTATTCAAAGTTTTTATCAGGAATGGGTGTTGGACTTTGTCAAATGCCTTTTCTTCATCCACTGAGATGATCATGTGATTCTTTTGTTTATGTGGTAAACTACGTTGATTGATTTTCTAATGTTGAACCATACTTGCATACCTGGTCTGAATCCCACTTGGTCGTGGTGTATTATTATTTTTTATATGATGCTGAATTCTATTGGCTAGAATTTTGTTGAAAATTTTTGCATCTATGTTCATGAGAGATATTAGTCTATAATTTTCTTTTTTTGTGGTTATCTTTGACTGGTTTTGATATCAGGATTATGCTGGCTTCATAGAATGAATTTGCAAATATCCTTTCTTTTTCTATGTTCTGAAATAGTTTGAGTAGTACTGGGTGCAAGCCCTTAGTAGAATTTTCCAGTGCAGCCGTTTGGGCCAGGACTTTTTTGTTGGGAGTTTTTTTTTTTTTTTATTATGTATTCAATCTCTTCACTTGTTGTGGATCTGTTCAGATTTTCTACCTTAGTTTGTGTTAATTTATGTAGGTAGTGTATTTCTAGAAATTTTTCCATTTCCTCTAGGTTTTCTAATTTGTTGGAGTTCAGTTTTTCGTAGTACTCTGTTATGATCCTTTTTATAGGTTGGTTCTGTTGTAATGTCCCCCATTTCATTTCTTATTTGAGGTATTTGCTTCGTCTCCTGATTTTCTTTTGTCAGTTTTGCCAGTGGTTTGTCGATTTTGTTGATCCTTTCAAAGAACCAACTTTGGGTTTTATTGATCTTTCTATTGTTTTTCTATTCTCTTTTTCATTTGTTTCTGCTCTGATCTTTATTATTTCCTTTCTTCTGGTGGCTGTGGGCTTCTTTTGCTATTTCTGTTTGTTCGAGTTGTAAGCTAATATTGTTTGTCCCTTCTTTTTTGATGCGTGTATCTATTGCTATAAATTGACCTCTGGGCACTGCCTTTGCTGTGTCCCAAAGGTTTTAGTATGATATATTACAAACAGATTAATTCAGCTGCTTGCCTATACAATGAAGCGGAAGGGGGGACCAGGTGCCTTTGATTCACACCCAGGGAATCTCCCATCTGCTTGGTACTGGGCTAAATACTCTGGGGGCTGCTGAGATGATGGAAACACAGTTGTTCTGAGGGTCTCTAATATTAGAGTGGCATTGGGTGGCATGACAGCTGAAGGGGCCCTGCAGTATCATGTTTTATATCCACTTTGTTGGATATAAGGACCTGTCCTCTAGGAGTTCACAATATTGCTGAGGAGGCAACAGTCACACAAGGTAGAGAAATGGTTATGAAGAGAACAGTGTAAGCCTGTGAGTTACTAAATGCAAAGGGAAAAGGAGGTCACATTTACTATGTGCTTACTGTACCATGCTTCTCATGGGTGTTACCTTGTTACTTCAGAGATTAGTTTCCTGTGGCTGCTGTAAAAATGACTACAGACTTCGTGGCTTAAAACAACAGAAATTTATTCTTTCATAGTTCTAGAGGCCAGAAATCCAAAATCAGTATCACTGGACTGAAATCAAGGTGTCAGCAGGGCCATGCTCCCTCCAGAGGGTCTAGGGGAGAACCTGATCCTTGCCTCTTCCACCTTCTGGTGGCTGCCAGCATTCCTTGGCTTGCGATTGCATCACTCCAGTTTCTGCCTCAGTGGTCATGTTGCCTTCTCCTCTTCTGTCTATCTTTCTCTGCTTCCCTCTTATAAGGATACATGTGATTACATTTAGGGCCCAGGATAATCTTCCCATCTCAAGATCCTTCACATCTGCAAGACTCCTTTTCCAAATAAGGTAACATTTGTGTGGTCCAAGGATTAGGGCCTGCTGTCTTTGGGTAGCTTTTTATTTAACCTACCACACTTCAGAACCATCCTGAGATGAAGGCCTTGTTATCCTCCTTTTACAGCTAGAGAGTCAGTCTCAGTAAAGTATTCAAGGTCACACAGTTGTAAGTAAGAGCATCAGGATTTGAACTTGGGGCTAACCCCAGAGCCTCTTGTTTTCTATGCCCTGCCATCTCCCTACCAAGTGCTAAGTAAGTGGATGGTACATGCTGTGACCATGAGAAGTGTTGTGACAAGAAAGCAGTTGAGGAATCAGTGTTCATTCATGACGAGGCAACAGGTGGGCCAAGCCTTAACAAAGGTAGTCTGGATTCCTCCTTGGTCATTGTCTCCCCACCCTCACTATCAAGGAAGTTCTCCTGTGTCTAACCTAAGTCCCATATGGGGTGTGTATAGTCCGATATGGGGTGCTGTCTCTCACTTGGGCACCCCTCTCTCTGATCCCATTTTCCTGATGATTGTTTGTTTCTTCACAGGATATGGGCTCTTCTTCCTGTCGTTAGTCACTACGCCTGTCATCCGGGCCAAGCTCTCCAAGCTGGTGAGCAAGTCAGAGCTGGGTAAGTGTCAGGATCAGCCTGCATCTGTCAAATTGGCTGAATTAAGACCACAGTTCCTTGGCTTTTCATACCACACGGTTGGGATTTACAATCAGCAGAGCATGATTATGTTCCTTGTGGGTAACCAGAGCAAAGCATTTACTTTTTCCAGACCTCAGCTTTTCCATCTGAAATGGATGTGATAATGCTAGGGTTCCCTACTTCACTGGGTCAGAGTGTACAAGCTTAGAGGAAGTGGACAACCCTGTGAAGTAGATTTAATTATCCCCAGTTGACAGATGAAGAAGCAGAGGCCCAGAGGGTTAAATTGACTTACTTAAGGTCATTCAGTGAGTGTGGAGCCAGGATGAAACCCAGGTCTGTTTTTAAGAGCAGTGGGTCTTGGGTTCTGGGTTTAAGTCCTGCTTCTGTTACCCACTGGTTGTGTGATCTTGGGCAGGTCCCTTTCCCTCTCTGGGCCTCAGTTTCCTCATTTGTAAAATGAGTGGTTTGAGGTCTTTGAGTTAATGTCAACTTCTGTTGGGCTGTTACTCATTTTGCAAATTTGGCTTCTGTTGGCATATCTATAATGGACAGCTTCTCAGGCCTCGGGGTTTCTAGACCCCAGTCTGGCTGGAAACATCAGCTTATCCACTTTCCTGCAGCTGCTGTGGAAGGAGGATCTGATGGTGATAGAGAACCTAGTGCCATACACAACCCACCATGGGCTCTGTTGCCCTCAGAATCCATGGGCTTTCATCCATTCACTCAATAAGCTTTTTCTTTCACCTTTAGTGTGCCCAGAAATGCCAAGGGGAACAGGAGAAAAGAATGGCCCTACTAACTGGCTTCCTCTAAGGAGCCAGCCAGGCTCTGTGATAGGTGCTTTACATGTGAGTGTAATGTTGCTGATAATCAGTGAAGTAGGTATTATCTTTATTTAACAGAAGGGGGAATGGAAACTTAGGGAGGATAAGTGATTTATTCAGTGTTCGCACAGCTAATAAGTGTTAGAACTGGGACTCAAACCTGCAATTAATCCCAAAAAGGGGATAATTCCAAAAACCATTTCCATCAAGTTTTCATTCAAAGATGACACATGTACTTTTAGTGTGAATTTAATGGCACTCATTTATTTAGTACCCCTTGTGTAACAGGTGGAAACCCCGGTGGCGTAGTGGTTAAGAGTTCGGCTGCTAACCGAAAGGTCGGCAGTTCGAATCCACCAGGTGCTCCTCGGAAACCCTATGGGGCAGTTCTACCCTGTCTGATAGGGTCGCTATGAGTTGGAATCGACTTCAACGGCAATGGGTTTGTTTTTTTATTTTTTGCGTAACCGGTTGAGGAGTCCCCCGGTGGCGCAAGCTGTTAAGAGCTCAACGACTAGCTGAAAGGTTGACAGTTTGAACCCACCCAGAAATGCTTGGGAAGACAGGCCTGGTGATCTGCTTCTGAAAGGTCACAGCCTTGAAAACCCTATAGAGCAGTTCTACTTTGCACACATGGGGTCGCACGAGTTGGAAGCTGCTCAAGGGCAACTAACAACAACAGCATAACAGACTCTTCCCATGCATGACCTCATTGACCCCTTATGACAACATGAGCCTGGGTATGATTTACAGCTGAGGAAGGTGAGACCCAGAGAGGTTAAGTGACTTGCTCCAGGTTACATAGCTGTCACGTAGTGACGCTAGGATTTGGAGTCTTTCAGACTCCAGAGTGGTATTTATTTCCTAACAGGTGCTCTCTTTTCTGCTGTGGCCTGTGTGAATAGCTTGGGCATGCTGATGGCTTCCGGCATCTTCAACTCACTCTACCCAGCCACACTGAACTTCATGAAGGGGTTCCCCTTCCTCCTGGGTGCTGGCCTCCTCTTCATCCCAGCCATTCTGATTGGGTAATGCAAGGCCCTGAACCCATGCTCATAATGGAGCCCTTTATCTCAGTCTCAATCCTAGGCTGACTGTCCCCTTGCAGATGGCTGCCTAATCCCCTAGGAGCCATTCCCCAAGGGCAAGCTGGGGGCATGCGTAGGGGAAGGATCAGGCTAACATTGCTTCTTGGCAAGGCTGTGTTTTCACTCCCAGTTCCCCTCATGCCCCTCCATTCCTGTTTTTGAGATGGAACTATAGTGGCAGAAATGTGCTAAAGGAAGCTGGAGAGGTTCCTCAGCTAGCTGTGGCAGGGCCTTAAGAGCCATTGTCCAGAGCCCTCTGTCTCTGAGTCATTGTCTTCCACGTCTCAGCTTGGGGAAGGGGGAAGGAGGGAGCTACCTGGGCTAAACCACCCAAGCAAAGGCTGTGTCACTTCTCCAGACAGGAGCTGAGAGTCTCCCATGGCAAATCTGATCCCCTGCTCTGGTCTCTCACAGGGTGCTGGAGAAGATTAATCCTCACAGTGAATTCCAGCAGTTTCCCGAGAGCCGTTGATCTGTCCAGACCAGAGGACAGAGAACAGTGGAGCGGAGTGAGCACTAACCAACTGGAAAGATACCTCTGGGGTCCTGGCCTACAGCAGCACCAGCAGCTTCTCTCAAAGGGCAGTGTTCGCCTTGGACAAGGTGTTCAAGCTAGACCAAGGCTCCCTACCTCATCCACAGCATGCCAACTTACAACTCTAGGATACAGAATCATACCTCACAGGCCCATCAGGGCAGGCAGTGAGGGAGCACTGGGACAAGGGTCTGATCACCCTTTATGCCATCCATCACTCAGAACCCTCTAGGGGAGAGGAGAGGGCCTGATGGAGGTGACACTTCAGGAACCAGCTGGCGCATGAAGGCCGGCATCTCTGCTTCCAGCCAAAATGGTACAGCCCATGGGGCTCAGTTCATGATGTGCACACCAGCCGCCAGTCATTCTTTAGTGATAAATATGGTGTTCCATTAGTGCCAGCCTTGTGGGGAGGGAGGATTGTGGGAAGGGCTTGGTGCCTCTGGAGGGAGAGGGCTGCTGTCTCTGGTAGGGAGCCAGTCCTTGGCTGTGGCCTGCCTGTCCTAGGACCTCACCATGCCAATTATGATAATAAATCCATACAAACACACCAAAATGAACCTTCTGGCCTCCAGAGCATGGGGCTTTGGGGCCCTCTGTTTTCCTGCCCCTGGTCTCCCTGCCACAGGTCAGAGAACAGTAGGTGCTGGGATGGGCAGGAGCCCGTGAGCTGCCCACAGGCTTGGTACTGGGTGTGGCCAGCCCAGGCCTCAAATAGACGCCATTTTCTTCTCCTGAGCTGCTGGGAGATGGGTGCCAGGCTTGCAGGAGGTTAGCGGAAAAGCTGGGGGCAGAGCCCTGCCACCTCATCCCTGAGGGTCAGTCAGAGATCCACTCCTTTAAGGCACCTATACTGGTCTTCCTGGCAGCAGGAATCAGTCCTGTAACCATGCAGCCCTCCAAACATCTCCTATCAGTGGGCATTTCAGCAGAGCCATGTGCTGACACTAACCCCTGTGCCTCCGTTGTAGGTCAGAGGAAACCTGGGAGATGAGCCTGACTCCCCATACGACTCAGGGACCCCTGCTTCTCACAGAGAATGAGGGGCCTGTTTCTAGTGTTCGGAAGGACTGGATCTGAAGTTGAAACGCAGAATCTGATTAACATTAAGGCACAGGCACAGACCTAAGTCATGGTGGCACTCAACTCTTCCATCCAGAGTTGCCCACAGGGCCTTGCTCCCCTGCTGCTATTTCCACCCTCATCTCTTCCTACCTGCTCTGCCAGCCAGAGTTTCCTGGCCAGAAGTCAATGCAAGTAAAGTGAAGGTGGCCCAGGGCCAGCTGGGGCCTCTGCAGCCTGTTGCCAAGCGCCTGTCTCACTGTTCCCTCTGTAATTGGGAGACCTAGGCAAGGAGAGGGCCCTCCACCGATTGTCAGCATGAGGCAGCGAGGAGAGTAGGGAAAGGCTCTGAGCTGGCCTCAGGCCAGGGTCCTACGCTGGGCCCTGCTACGGGCTAGCTGTGTGACCTTGAGCAGGCCCCTCTGTGAAGGGGTAGATCAGCAGTGCCCCAAATTGTGTTACTGTAAAGATCCCCCCTGGTTGGACAAGTTTAGGAAACACTGGATTAGATGACATTCTGAGATCCCTCCCGGTTCATACATTCTAGAAAGATGCCTGTCTTCATTGTCCTGAGTGGACCTGGGGATGGAGGAATGAATTATGGCTAGACTTTTGGCCCAAGGGTCAGAATGGCCTTTAAGTGTCCCTGAGCAGTTCTGGGCCCCTGGGAGGTGGGGTGAGGACCTAGCTGACTCAGCCTCACCCTGGGGGCAGCAGCTGCAGCCCAGCTAAGCAGAAAACCCTAAGCCTGCAGACCTGGGTCAGAGCAGACTTTGGGGGGAAGGCTACTTCTAAGCCCTCATCTCAGGAGGGGCCAGGCCTGGGTCAAAGCTGAGGGCCAAGGTCCTTGCCGCGGCTGTGGTCTGTGCAGTGTTTGTCATGGCGAGGCAGTCACGCCTGAACACACTGGCCTGGCAAGGGGAGGGTCATCCCTTCAGCTGCTCTGGCTGGGGCCGGAGTCTGGGCTCTGATTCTCCAGAGAGACAGAGTAGGGGGACAGAGATCAACGAGAAAGCCAAGAAGTCGAGGTGGGCAGCAGTGGAGGGTGTACCAAACAGAAAAAGAAAAAAGGGCCAGGGAACCTCTGTGAGTATTGCTCGTGGGGTCTCAGGGGAGCAGGACTGATTAGGAACAAAGTGACAAAAAGCTGCATTGGAAGACACTCATCATACTGTATTGTTACATCTCTGCTCTGAGGGTAGCATCTAGTCTGCCTCATTCACCAAGCCCTGGGACTGGCGCTGGTGGGAACTCTTGTTGCATGAAAGAAGGAAGGAGGGCAAGCAGGGAACCGAGCGCAGCCAGAGCCAAAGAGCTGGGCCAGGACACCGAAGACAGTATCTTTGGCAGGGAGGGGAGTGGAGGGAGAGCCCCAGGCCTGGAGGGAGAACTTTGACTTTGATGATGTGGCTGGAGAGCTGGGAGTGACCTGGCCAGCGCCTTAGGGGTGGAGGCTGGGAGCTGAGCCAGCCCTGAGATATGAACCCATTGGCCTTAGGAGGGAAGGGGCAGGGTAGGTTCCAGCTGACCCCACTAGCTGGAGCCTGGATTATTGGAGGGAGAGCACCCGATAGAGGGTGGGGCAGAAGGATATTCCTACGTGGCCCCTGGGTTGGCCTTTTGCTGCTAAAACCTACCCCCTACTGCCAGATTCTTTGGGGCAAGGGAGAAGCCAACTGTCTGTGGAGCAGCCACCCTGCCTAGGGCACAGCCTCCAGATGATCCTCCCAAACCCGTTCTGCCAAGCTGTGGACTGATGCCGGAGATCCTGGAGCTGCCACTAACCAGTTGGGAACCTGGATGCATCACTCAACCTTTCTGAGCCTCACTTTCCTTACCTGTGAAGTGGAGAAGATAGTACCAGATAGGGTTGCTGTGATGATTACAGAGACCTTGGAAATGGCAGGGATTAGATCCTTGCTACTCAAAGTGGGGTCTCCTGACGGCAGCATCAGCTCACCGGAAAATTTGTGAAAAATGCGGATTTCCTCAATCTAATCTGCGTTTTAACAAGATTCCCAGGTGATTAGAATGCACATTAAAGTTGGAGAAACTGCCCTAGGTAATAAAAACCCCTGCCCTTCATTAGGATCCTGCCTCCTCCACCCAGGCTGCTACTGCGCCATGGAGCTGACTTGCCCCCTGAGCAGCCTTGGATGGGTGAGGGGCTGGGGAAGGCAACTGGGGCACAACACTGAGGCATGGGGTAGGGTGGGCTCGCTGCCCTTAATACATGGCCTCCCCCTGCCCAGGCCCAAGCAGGGGGCTCGTGTGCACCAGTAACTGCAGCGAAGCCGGCCACAGTGACAGACCAGCCAGAGTAAGGGCTCGGCTGACCCGGATGCGGCAAGGGAGGCCAATCCTCAGAAAGACCGGGAGGGGCATCCAAGAAGAGGCCAGCCGGCCAAGGGCACTGAGTGGTTACAGGGCAAGGCCAAGGGTGACAGGAAGTGGTGAGCCAGGGGCCAGGCACAGTCCTGACTGACAGCCATCATTGCACACAACTCCAGCTGACTCAGAGCAGTGGTGCTCAGGCTGCAGAGGGCCGGGGCGCTGCCCTAATTTCTGCAAGGGGCTGCCTGCCTTCCCCGTACTCAAGCTGGTTGCTATTAAGGCAGGGGAAGGGGAGTGTACTTCAAACTCTATCTCCAGAACTGAGCCTTGACCCTGCCCATACCCAGGACAGAGAACCCGAGGGCAGGCTTGGGGGTGGCACCGGGGCCTGGGGGAGGTCTAACCCTCACCACCCCCTAATGCCTGTCTTCCCTCCCCTTTGCAGATAACAGGTGGGCCATGAGGGTGGGGGAGAGCCATTTCCTGAGAAGAGCCCAGGCTGTCTCAGCCCAGGGAGACCAGTTTGAGGGGCTGCTCCCCCAGGGAGGATAGTGGAAGTGGGGGTCACAGCAGGGCTTGGGAAGTGGGAGCCATTAAGTCGGGCCCACCCTCCAAACTGGTGTCGGAGCCTGCAGATGAGTCCCGGGAGGATCGGCCCTGCAGGAAGCGGATGATCTTCTCGATGGTGGCCTCCTGGTACTCATGGGACCACCTGTGGGCACAGAGGTGGCATGGGTCAGAGGGCTCGGCAGAGGTTCCTGCTGGCAGCTTTGCCCTCGTGCTGCCTCATTGTCCCTCACTCCCTGGGACCCTGGGGCTCACTTGATGCCATTGAAGGTGAGCACAGCCTGCATGTCCTCAGGCAGGGCTTGGGGCTCGGGCCACTCGAAGCCATCGATGATGGGCACGATGTTCTTGCCGCAGCTCAAAGCAGTCACGATCTCCTGGAAGAAGAACAGAGAGGGGCCCTAGAGGTGAGGAGGAAGAGACCCCTGAGTCCACCTTAACTTTTCTCTCGCCCCTGCATCCCCATCAGTCCATCATGAGCCCTGACAATTCTACTCCTGACTGATTTCTCAAATTCATCATATTTATACCTCCCCCCTACCACCACCCTGCTCCAACCTCCCATTATTTTTAGCCTCTACCAGGTCTCCCCTCATCCATTTTTGTTTTTTAAATTGTGCTTTAGGTGAAAGTTTACGCAACAAATTAGTTTATCATTCAAAAATTTATACACAGATTATTTCATGACATTGGTTGCAATCCCCACAGTGTGTCAGCACTCTCCCCCTTTCCACCCTGGGTTCCCCATTTCCATCCGTCCAGTTTTCCTCTCCTTTCCTGCCTCCTGGTCTTTACTTTTGGGCAGGTGTTGCCCATTTGGTCTCATATACTTGGTTAATCTGAGAAGCATGTTCCTGCTGTGTGTTGTTTGTTTTATAGGTCTGTCTAATCTTTGGCTGAAAGGTGAACTTTGGGAGTGGCTTCAGTTCTGAGAGGGGTGTCCGGGGGCTGTCGTCTTGGGGGTTCCTCCAGTCTGTTTCAGACCAGTAAGTCTGGTCCTTTTTGTGAATTTGAATTTTGTTCTACATTTTTCTACTGCTCTGTCCAGGACACTCTGTTGTGATTCTTGTCAGAGTGGTCAGTGGTAGTACCCAGGCACCATCTAGTTCTTTGCAGCTCAGGCTGCTGGAGGCTGTGGTTCATGTGATCATTAGCCCTTTGGACTAATATTTTCTTAGCCCTTTGGACTAATATTTTCCTTGTGTCTCTGGTTTTTTTCATTCTCCTTTGATCTGGATAGGATGGAACCAATAGATGTATCTTAGATGGCCGCTTGGCAAGCTTTTAAGACCCCAGACACCACTCACCAAAGTGGGATGTAGAACATTTTCTTTATGAACTATGTTATGCCAGTTGACCTAGATGTCCCCTGAGACCATGGTCCCCAGCCCTCGTAGCTCGCTGCCTCATGGTGTTTGAATGTGCCTAAGAAGGTTCTATGACTGTTCCCCCTTTGTGTTCTATTATATATATATCAATATACATGCTGTACATACAAATATGTATGTAAAAATATCCACAGCCTAACCTACATATTCACATGGGTGTACTCCTATACGCCCTCCTTCCCCTCTTCAGTATACATGTGTGCCTGTGTTTCTGTTTGCAAGTTATTTGTTTTTACTGTTGTTACAGCGTTGTATATGCTATAGTATTTACTGTGGTTGCCTCTCTTTTTTTTTTTTT